TATAAAAAGTAAATGATTACTAACGTTTAAAAGAAAACAAAATACAGCCAACTTTAGACAGTCATGGAGAGTTACTGGGCCAGCCTACAAGATGCAATTCCAGAGCAATGGACTGAGAAAATCCCTAATGTAGTCATAGTTTTATGAAAATGAGCCAGAACAAAATAATGTTATTTAGCAATTAACCATGTTAAAAATTATGTTTTTACTCCAAAACAGCTGCAACTCGAGTGCTCTGCCGCACTTGCCAAGCCTGAAAATTAACCAAAAAAATGCTACTCAAACACAAACATTCCACATGCCTTCAAAAAACAGTGCCTGCTTTCACTGGTAAAAAATAAGCTTCATGAGTACCGTTTTATTTTAACTGATCACATTTTGTTTGAAATAATGTGAAGTCAACAGATCCGAAGCACTGGGGAGAAAACACCTCATGTAGAAAACAACAAGTCCTCAACAGCATCTAATGTGACACTAGTTATCTCTGCTAACTCTTCAGCTTATCTGAACAGGCAGTCTCTGTTGCTCATCCAACAGGAAAACCTTGAATGTCGCTCAGCTGTTTTTGAAAAATAAAACGTTCCTCTGTGAGCCGCTGTATTTTTGTGCAACACCAGTGCTGTCACCCAAACAGGTAAGACTATGGCCCTATATTATTTTTGGCCAAAGGTCATTGTTTTCCTTCCATACAGTTAACTGGGTATCTGTTCATAAAGTCTTATGGATGCTCAAATATCAAAATGAGCTGGAATATATATCCCTAGATACCAGACTTCAGTTTGTAAGTAGAAGATATTTTTATTTAATAAATTGTAATTAAAACATAATTAATTAAATAATTTAAACATGTGAAAATAGAAAAGCCATCTGAATAAGCCAAACGTTTGTTACTTTTATGAACACATGCACATCAGTAGGGAATTAAAGTTTAGTGTGTGCTCTGGTCTAAAGCAATTTCAAGAGGCTTAAAAACTTTGATTACTCCTCTCTTCGCCAACAAGAGCTGAACAAGTTGTTTTCATTTTTAGGATGATGGTTCAATACATGCTGTTTCCTCTGCTCTCCTGAACCGCTCACTGCAGTTCAAACAGAGCCAGCAACCTGATAAGGGCTGCCAGATTGGGCTGGATCACCCGTTTAGCATTTTAATGCAAATTGATATGGAAATAATTATTCATCAGTGAAGTTATCCATTACCTTGTAGTATTTCAATTACATGTTTTTGAAAAGCTAAACAAATAAAAAAGAATTACTATTACTACTGCTAATTATAATAATAATAGGAATAATAATAAGAAGTTCCTTTTATTCAGTTATTAAACTCAAACATGTCTTACTGAATAACATTCAACAGAATACTCGAAAATGAAAATACTCCATAGTTTTAGCTCCAGATATTTTATGATCTGTATTTAATGAAATATTACTGCTATGTGTAAAGTCTTGTTTTGCAAACATTTACATTTTTTGCTACTTTTTGTCTTTTCTTGACTTTAAAACAAGTGGAAAAAGTCAGAAGTGCAGCCTCAAGCCTCCATTAATTGTGTAACTTATTATATAATAAATATGTAATTACATAATTACATTTTCCCAGCATTGCAAAATGAAAATCATAATTTATAAACTTCTAAGAGTTACAATGATGACTGATTACAACAAGTCACAAACAACAGTAAAATTTATAGCTTTATGTTGACAGGAAGACAAAATGCTTAATTCCAAAATAGGCAAAAGTAGGCTAACTAAGTCAGAGCAACATGTGAACCTTACATAAAAGTTTCACTTGTTTTGGACAGATTAGGAACGACGTAGCTAGGAATGGAGCTGTTCTACACTTGATGTTGTTCAGCACAAACAGAGTGGCAGCTTTCATTTTTGCAGCAAACTGTCCTCTTTACAATGTACTGTAAACATGAAGACCCCTGTCTCCACAACGTCTCTGGTCAAACATCTCAATAAGAATGTCTCAGTGCCTCAGTGAAGAATTTAAACATATAAATCAATCAATGATATTCTCCTGAGTAACATCAAATTAGGTTTCATTTGTCCTCCGGTTACAACATCTGCTTATTCAATTGGACTAAAAGCACAGGTCAGACCCAAAGAAAGCGCTGCACAACTATGAAACACAGCAGAAACAGGGCCCTGATTGTCTTCAGGCATTCTCTGTAGAGAAAAATATCTCAGCAATCTGCAGAACAAGAATATCCAACACATATGCTGAGTCCTCAGATGTTAGACTCTCCACTTAAGCTTACCGTGTGCACTTTGGGGAAAAAATCTTGTTAGTAGTAAATGCAAATAAACAGACAAATCCACTGCGGTCAGCAAGTTCAATACAGTATGTTTTTTCAAACTCTAGTATGTAGTATATAATGTATGATCATGACATTTTTGACACAAAAAAATACAAAAAACCGAACTGAATGTTAACTGTATAGTCAAAAATCCTTACGCCTTACTAAGTAATGCAGTACACTCTCAAAAACAAAGGTGCCAGAAAGGATTTTTTTGATCAGAACAATCACTTTTGGTTCTCTATGCAGGCATTCAGACAACATCTTTCTAAACATGAGCACACACAAGCACACGCAAAAAAACAGTAAAACGCCAATCAGCATCATTTTATTACTTAGAAATACTGCCTTTTAATGTAATTCAACAGTTTCACTAGTTCAACTAATTATACTATTCTAGACACACAGTGTTTGATCACAATAACAACAACAATCATTAAAATATATGCAAATGGCTGTGAAATAAAGGTGATAATTTGTGTGAATTTACATTATATTTTCTGTAAATTAACAACAAGTGTTAAAATACAATATATGCAAGCTGTATTTACATGCATTTTTTTTTTCAAAAAAACATTACTTTCACAGTACTGATTACAGTTGATTTTTTTAGTGCATATCGTGCTTTTGTGCATTTTTTTATGGTGGCAGGTAACACATTTGATTGACTGTAAGTAAACACCAAGACTAATAAACAAGGTGATCAATAAAGATTTCAAAACTGACATATAAAATAATTTATAGAAAATGTAGAAATTATTTCTTCAGCAAATCACACAAATAAAAAAAAATCCTAACAATAAAATTCACTGTGTCTGAAGACAGCCAAAACTACCTTTTTCTCAATGTTGGATAAGTGATGAGGAATTCTCGATCCTCTGATTGGTCAGCTGTGGAGGATTTTGTTGTCGCAGAGCACAAAAGTTGCTGTTTTTCCAAGAACTACATGTCCAGGTCAAGAATTAAAAAGAAACCTTTATTTTTAAGAGCATAGGTCTCAGGCAAACAGATGAATATGATAAAGAATGATTATTCGAATGCAAAACGATGTACTAAACATCTAGTAAAGCCACTAGGCCTATACAGCATTTAGTCACAAGATTAATTAAACCAGACAAATCAGAACTGAGTGTACAGAACCCCATCTGTTAGCACTCACTCACTAATGTTTTATTGTTCGTAAACATTGGCATCGTAAAACCATCGTCCCTTAAGATGAGGTGCATTAACTGTTCTTGGCAAAAAAAAAGGTGTTGGGTCCCAAGATGATGGGTATAACTGAACGAAAAACAAAAGCACTTTTACAGGTCTCAGGCTCCAGCCTCAATAACTCCACTGACACATTATTATTCTAGTTGACATTTCATTCTTTTGAGATACAACTCTAAAATGACCATCTTTAAGCAAGCACTCTAAAATATGTAACAATTTTCATGACCCTTATGTTTTTGTACTGGTCACTCGGTAAGCGTCCCTCTGTGCTCCACCCTTCAACAATTTGAGAACAGAAAGGAGTGTTTTTGTGGGACACGTATGGCAGAAGGCGTCCTTCCAGAATCCTCCTATGAGATACAGGAGTTAAATACTTGGGCCAAGTATTATATAGCCATCCGTTTTTTACTGTTACAGGTCGTTTATGTGTTCTTTGTGTCACGGTTGAGCTTAAAGAGTTATAACATTCTGGCAATGACTGCTAAGGCAAAAAGTCAACTGGAATGACCATACAGAAACAGAGGACCCTTGCATAAGATCAGAATCTCTGGAACATCAGTATAGTGCAAAATGTCTACTGAATATGCAGCAGCATAGTTTTTGTGTGCAGCAGGAATAAACAGAAATGCTTTCTGACACATTCAAACTGGAATCTAGACAGTGTTCCACAATTTCCATTTCAATTCACCACCTGTATGAAATAATAGCATGCTTTATCATATTTTCTCCATCAAAACCACTTCATATTAAACCACTGGGTTATTCTCCCATCACCACTTCACTGGTGTGCCTGAGGTTTTCTTTACTGGGCTAATGAAGGGCATATGAGCATTTTATTCTCATATAGAAAAGGCTAGGAGGAACTGTACTGCTAAGTAGTCAAACTACTGTGATGAAAAAAAACTATCAGCCGAAATACAAGAGTAGAAACCTAACTTTAAGTTTAAAAAATAAAAAACAACACAGCTTAACACTGTTAGCTAACTCAGCTAGTTCATCGACTGTGCTCTGTAGCTAGATATGTTCATAGCTAAGGCTATTTTAAAGCTAAATTCACTATAAATTCACCATATATTTTAATAAGAGTTTAAAACGTCTGCGGTTGTGATGAAATGTTATGACTGAAGAGGCAGCCAGAGCAAACGGTCAAAGCAAATCTACTGACCGCAGCACAGAGCAGTGGATGAAAACATAGCACTACAGGCTCATTAACATTCAACGCTGAAATAAAATCCAGCCCAAATAACCGTTCATGAATTCAAATAATGCTGCGCGCGCACCACAGGCTAACAGCTAACACCAATACAGTCGGTCTGCCTTTAGACTACAGCACTGTAACAGAGCGCACGGAGGAATTAAATCACACTTTATACTTATACAGAGCGCACTTTCGATTCGACTAGTCGGAAGTTTGCCCAAGTTTCAGTGATTTTCTACAGCTGTGACGTTACCCGTAAAGTACTCGTTGAGCTCGTGGAGTTCAACACTCACCTGTTAAAATCAGCAAGACCAGCTGAAGTGAAGTGAGTTCAGGCCAGTAATCCATGGCTCCCTCCGGAACAGGATCCTGGAAATAAACCGCGGTCAACCTTTGTCCACTTTTGTTCCTGTGGAGGCTTTAAAATATAAACTGTATGAAAACAAAAGTCAGCGATGTTCGCTCCTTCAGCATCCACTTTCTCCAGCTCCTCGGAGTTGCTCGTTTCTCACTGGGCTTCGCTGAGATTCATGGTGCTGCTGATGCTGCAGCCTCTGGGGCTCTGAGTGGAGCTGCTACTCTCTCCCTCTCTCTCTCTCTCTCTCTCTCTCAGTGAAGCTACTACTCTCTTCCCTCTCTCTCTCTCTCTCTCTCTCTCTCTCTCTCAGTGAAGCTACTACTCTCTTCCCTCTCTCCGTGTCTCTGTCTCTCTCTCTCTCTCTCTCTGAGTAGGGCTGCTCTTCTTTCTCTCTGTCTCTCTCTGTGAGTAGAGCTGCTCTTCTCTCTCTCTCTCTGTCTCTTTCTGAGAGGAGCTGTTCTCCCCCTCTCGCTGTCTCCCCTCTCCCTCTCTCTGAGTGGAGCTGCCTCTCTCTCTCTCTCTCTCTCTCTCTCTCTTCTCTCTGAGTGGACCTGTGTCCCTCTCCCCGAGTGGAGGTGCTCTTCTGTCTCTCTCTTTCTTTCTCCCTAAGTGGAGCTGCTCCCCTCTCTCTCTCTGAGAGGAGCTCTTCTCCCCACCTCACTCTCTCTCCTTCTCTCTAACTCTCTCTCTCTTCCTCCCTCTGTCTCTGAGTGGAGCTGCCCCCCCTCTCCAAGTGGAGGTGCTCCACTGCCCCTCTGTCTCTCTCTGAGCAAAGCCGCTCCTCTCTCTGTCTCTCTGCTGGCCCACCACTCGGTCCTAATGCCAGCCGAAGCAGCTCTTGCCAGACCAAACCACACCACTGCTCCATGCAAATGATGCGTTTAGACCTCCAAAACTGGCTGCACATGTATATCAGAAGCGTCTTCTATTCTGCAGAAAAAAATCACAGACTAAATCACAGTCAAACTAGTCAAGCACAGAGCATAGCAGGGCAGGTCACCAATAGCCATTCAACTTCAGTTGATGGTAGACACATAAAGCCCCACTCTTTTCTCCCTTAGCCCAAACACAAAGCCAATACTGCTGCATGTGTTAAACTAATAACAACAACTTTTCTACAATAAATGTCTCTCCTACCACAAGTGCAGTGCCGCCCAAGAGCCTCTTTGCATGCTCCACGACAGCACGGCCAATGGCGGGAAGTCACAAAACCTTACTGCATTATGCTTTCTAAAGTTTTAGGTACCTGAGCAAAATTAAAAAAGCAGTAATTTGCTCTGAAAAACACTTAGAATAAAATAAATAACATTAATACATTAATTTTAACTGTATATATCACTGTTACACACACACACACACACACACACACACACACACATATATATATATATATATAAATATATATATATATATATACACACATCACAGAACAGATGAAAAGAAATATAATAACACAAGACAAACATAATAATAATAATAATTTCTTATTTTGAAAAATAGTTTGAAAAACAATGTTTGGTTTCTTAAAATCCATGACTAATCCAGCTGACCTGATTAGCTAAAACATGTGTTGATTAATAACCACAAGTAATCCTGGGCTGCACCAAAAGAAAGGTTTGGATAACTAAACACACACACACCTTCTAAGCCGCTTATCCTTCTGGGTCACAAGGGGGGCTGGGGCCTATCCCAGCAGTCATTGCGTGGAAGGCAGGATACACCCTGGACAGGTCACTAGTCCATTGCAGGGCAGAGAGACAGACATATACATTCACACACACTCACACCTAGGGGCAATTTAGCATGTACAATTTGCCTGACTGCATGTCTTTGGACTGTGGGAGGAAACCAGAGTACCCGGAGGAAACCCACGCAGACACAGGGAGAACATGCAAACTCCATATAGAAAGGAATCGAACGTAGGCCTTTCTTGTTGTGAGGCAATAGGACTACCCACTGGGCCACCGTGCCGCCCATAACTAAACATTGATGTTATTTGTATTTATTCTGATGTTAGCTCTTGTTATTTTGTTCCGAAAAAGAATGCATATTGCCTAGATAAACAGCTTTTTAATTGCAATTTCTGAGAAAATGATATGCCATTCATTCATTCATTCGTTCATTCATTCATTTTTTTGGTGCAATGAAATCATCCCACTTCAATTTTGTCTGAAAGTAATAAATGGGGTCTAAAAATATGGGGTCTAGAAATATTTCCAAGCCTTAGAGAGAGAATCTCAAATAACAAAGTAATAAGTCATAATGTTCATAGTTTGGTACCTAAGAAGGAAAGGATATCATGTTAAAAACAGGAAAGAACAGCAACATTGCAGGATGACATCTTATTTGCAAACCTGTCTTCGGAAATGAATCTTTCATCATTTATCAAGGGCAAGGTCACTGAGGGCTTTAAATGTGATTTAACCCAAGAATTAGCTAATCAGTTGAATCAGTGGAGATGAAATACTTGAGCCCCTGAATTCCTCTTTTGCACTGTTTATATAGAACAATATTCACAATGCAGTGAATGTGCAGTACATCGCAGAACTGCTGTATTACCACAATGTACTTGAATTTACAATAAGGTAATAATATGGACACCCATCGCTGCCACAGGTGTTCTACTGCACATACACACAGTTCTAATAATCTCCAAAGAAGAGCACTGCCAATGAAATTGGAAGCAGCCACACAAGAGCCTAAAGTAACTATACCCAATGCTAAACACCGGTTAGAGGAGTATAAAGTTAGTTTTGAGTTGTGGATCATTGGAACTGATTGGAGACAGTGGTATTGAATGGAGCTCCATTCAATACCTTCAGAATGAAATGAAGTGACGCTTATAATCTAAATCATTCAACACCAGTAGCTGAACTCCCAGAAGAATAGAAGCTGTTTCTGCAGCAAAGAGGGGACAATCATTAAAAGCTTAAAATGTCATGTTCTAAAACCTGAAAAGTGCTTTCAAGTACATTGGGCCAACGCTGCGATCAAGGCTGACCAAGCTTTCTTTCAGATCTGATAGTAACTGCACAACAGGAACTCCAATCTAACACCATCCAGTAACTGCTGTGATTTGGGCTGCAGTAATTCTAGTTAGGTGCAAGCTGCTGGGGACTCCTCCACATGCTGCCAATGGATAATTTCAAGGCTGTCAGTGCAAAAAGTGCCCGAGGGAAATTCAGCCAGTTACATCATGAGTTGCACTCATGCATTCCCTCTATCATTTTCTGCATTCTTTTAAACGAAGGTAACACATTTTCAGTGACTTCACTCTGTACACCCCCTACACCTTTATTTTACACATGTGGTGTTGGGGTGAACCCACAGGGAATAAAAGTGTGGAGGTGCTGTGTCCCTTCTCTCTGTTCTCCTCCTACATGGCCTGCTGTTAGTATGTGTGTATGTGTGTGTATATGTTTGTATGTGTGCGTGTGTGGGTGAGGATGGCCAACATGTAAATGCTGCTGACTGGCTGCAGCTGCTAAAGGAGAACGCTACGCTGGTATTTTAACATAAATTGTTATGGCTGTATTGATTTAAAAAAACAATAATATTGTGAGTAACAAAAACATGAACACCACACAAGGGTTAAAGAAATACATCATTGCTGTCATACAATTTTCTGGGTTTTTACACCATTTCAAAACATCAGCTGTCTTTACATTGTGTGAATATTTCATGATGAATGGACCAATAGAAATGCTCCAAAATGACATAATATCATGCTACATCGAAAAGCCAATATCATGGAAAATTTTCTCATTTTCCTCAAATAAAAGATTTTAATGTAGTATGTAACCACTGTTAAAGTGACAAATTGTATCATTCACCCCTCTGTCCACACAGGCCATACACAGAAACTAGGCTGAAATAGCAGTTTAGTATTCACTGCTTCTGCAACGTCACAAAAACATTGCATTTCCATATATTAACCATTCTACTAAAGTACTAAGTTTAAACTGTAAAAAATAAAAACTAAACCAAACAATTAAGTATGCAGACTTTAGATACTGACAAAGATTATGTTATGACCTAGTTAAACTCAAGGCATTAATTGAGATGGTAATAAGCTGAATATATCGCTGCTGTCGGAAGAAAACCTTGTATCTCCAAAATATTAACTTTACAGGAGAAGGAAAAAACATTCTAAGTTTTGAATAGAAGTCAATGGAGCTAGATTTTTTTCAAGTACTTTTGAAGCATTTCTGCTGGTGTGTTCATCATGAAATTTTGGCACATAATAAAGGTCAGCTGGCATTTTCAAATTCTGTAAAAAAGTGCAAAATGCCAAAAATGGAGCTGCAGGGTTTTCTTCTGACAGCAGCAATATGCATACATACATACATACATACATACATACATCATCTAAACCGCTTATCCTTCTGGGTCGCGGTGAGGGTGCTGAAGCCTATCCCAACTGTCATTGGGCGGAAGGCAGGATACACCCTGGACAGGTTGCCAGTCCATCGCAGGCAGCAATATGCAAAATCAGTAATTATATTTAAATATATTTTTAGTCTTTCTCTTTTGAATTTCCCTCTAATTCCATTGATTGTTTTGAACACAGACCAAGTTTAAGTCTAATCCTTATTAAAGTACAGCAAGATTGATGATTCAAAGCACATTGTCCTTTTCAGCTGTTCAACGCTTAAATGTTCACCAAACAACCTCATAAAGAAATACAACATAATAAATATATTGCATTTTTTCCTTTCCTTTATTTTCTTTGGAGGGGGTGGGTGTGGTGGGCACATTATTGTGTCTAGGGCCCAAACTGTGGTGCTACACCTCTGGTGATCACAAAAATTTATCACACGAAGTGTTTCTGCATATGATGCCTTATGCCTGAAACATTGTTTTACAGTAGTTTTGAGTTATTTGTTCTATGTATTTTCTAAAATTCATTCATGGTGGATGATGGGTCTATACATGGAGGTACCTTCAGAGCGCAAGGGAAAATAGTATGAAATCCTTTATTATTTCGGGGTGTATATTTGATGATATGTTTCCTGGGCAATTAACATAAACACATTTACGTAGCCACATTTTTAGTCCATCCATTTACATTCACATATTCTAGCCCCGGTGGACCTCTTCAGTTTGCTGCTCTTACTAGATTAACTCCTAGTAAACTGCGTCACTGTGCTATTACAGTTCATCACGCCTGGTAGAAAATCAGACATATGTCTGAAGAACAGCAGAGAGCACATCTGATGTATTTTGTTTTTTCTTGCAATATTTGTGGCATGGCAGCCCTTTAACCTTTCACTTAATAGTCAGCTTCCTGCCTTTG